TTTTTTTTTTTCGGGGCACAGTGAATTTTAATTAAAATATTTCTCAGGGTTTTTATTTTCACTGAGTTGGGGGCTCGGGGAACTCGGCAGGCTTAGTGGCGAAATGAGAGGGAATTAACTCTCGGCTTGTCGTGAGTGTGACACATTTGCATCAGATATGACGGGGACTCGTCTCGGAAGGACACCCACAGACTCATAAATCAGAGATGCGGCAGCAGCATCATCTTCTCTTTTTTTTATTTTGTATTTTGCTTGGAAAAACAAAACCCGAAATTGACTTGTCCGAGGGGACGACACCTGACATCCTCATAAATATGTGAATTTGTTTTTCTTTTGTTTGCTAAGCCGAAGGGAGTGTGGATTTCACACATTTTTTTCTCTCTCCCTCGTTTGCTATTTTTCCTTTGGCGCGACATGGCGCCAGTGACACTTTTCACTGTCCTGCCATGTCCTGCTGAGTTGGCCAAAAAGAAATATATATCAAAAAAATAAATAAATAAAAAAGAGCTGCAAGGACCTCGGTTGCATAATAAGAAACCTATCTGCGATTATTCAGTTACAGCTACTAGGAATTCTCTGTGCGGTTTTTGGTTTTATTTTTGGCTTAAAAATACACTGAGTATGTGGGTGGCATTAGGTACTTACCTTGGCCAAGTGAATAAATAGCTGAAGTATACTGCAAGTATAAAAAGTGTTTAATTATTAATAAATACTTTTATTTTCACACGCTTTTGGTTTGGTTATCAAAGTTCTCAGCTTGACACTTGGAATTTTGCATTAAACTCATGAGTTTAATTAATTTATCATTGTCATTATCAGTGGCTAATTTTTCGTCTTTTTGCCTTATTTTTATTGTTTTGAAAAATCAACGAAATTCCTCATTAATCTTCATTAAATTGCGCAAAATTCCTTTTTGACTTTGGGTCAAGTGCTCTCACACTTGGTAATCTGTCATTTTGGGTTAATGCGTACTAAATAAATATTTAATTGTTAGGGAAAGTAAAAGTAATTAGAAAGTAAGAAAGGTTTAAAGAATTTGAATACTAATATTCAGCACTATATAATTTATAGGTTGGGAAAGACATTCTTACTATATTCTAGTGTCCCTATATAAATAAAGTAATCTAAAAAAAAGGAAAATACAATGAAAAAAATATTTAATATCCTAAAATCCTTTCAGCAAACTTGTAAGTAAATTTCTTTAAGAATTAATAATTGAAAAACTATATACATTTAAAATTGCATAAATAAATCCTTAAAAAATAGATATATTTATTTAAATGTTAAGCATAATAATACAACATTAAATATATTGATAAAATGGTATAATTCTTTAAGAAATGTTAATTTCAAAAACTATATACATTTAAAATTGCATAAATAAATCCTTAAAAAAAATATAAATTAATTTAAATGTTAACATTAAATATATTGATAAAATGGTATAAAATATAGTTTAAAATTAGCTTTCCTTAGTTATAAATAATGTTATATTTTTATTTTAGATATAAACACAAATATAAGAAATTTAATTTCCAATACATTTTAATGGGTTTTAAAATGACTTAATAAATTTGACAAAAATTCCTTAAAGTAGATTAAATTTGAATACTATTTTAAGATATTATTCAATACTTGTTGTTAATTTTTAATATTTTTAAAACACTTATTTTAGTTCCTTAAAGTATTTCTCCCCAATAATGTTAAGTTAACAGTGCAACATGTTTGAAGTTCGAGCTCGAACCAAATAGCAACAAGCTCGAAGTTCAGCTACGAACCAAATAGCAACAAGTTTGATGTTTGAGTCGTAGCAAAATTCGAAACACATTTTAAAAAATGTCTCATCAAATTTTTCTATAAACTGATATTTAAGCGACTTTATCGGACTTACAGAGTCCCAATTCCCATTATCAATTTCATCAGCTTTATGGCCCCAAGCAGACAGAATACTTGATAAACTGCCAGCGATCCATTCTGCCATTTCATCATTATTATTCTCGCATATCGCAAGTCGGAATTCTTTGGCATTCAAATTTCTGGCCCACAATTATGCGTCACTTGAGAGTAAGATTCGAAAATCGTAAACAAAATAGCTGACACCACCGAATATTCGTGATCACTTAGGCATTCCTAGTGATAACACAGAGAGCAATGCTACTGGATTTTTTTATGAGGGGTTTCGAAGTACCTCCATTCATGGCCAGATCTTCTTCTAATTGAACCTATCACAAAAAACTTGTGCAGTTATCTGCGTATCGGAGTTAATTGGAAATTGGTAACATGAGCACAAAGTCCACAATTGGTAGTAGTTCTGCCTCGGTTTCTTTTGTTTTCGGGGGAAGTTCCCCTTGGAGATAAGGTGTGGGGTCTCTCTGGGTTATTCGTTGAAAGAATCATCAGGATGCTGATGGGTGCTATGGGAACGAAGGTGGTAAATGGGAGTCTTACCAAGGGTTTTAATATATATTTTAGCTGGGAACATTATATGATTTTTAGGGACTTCTTAAAGTATGTTTGAAAATAATTTTATTGTTTTTTAAGTGATTTAACTCTGTTTTACTATCATAATAATATTCTTAATTATTTTGAAAAGGGTGTCAATCAAAATAATTTATAAAAGTGACTTTGAGAAGTATGTGGTTAATTTAGTCTTAAATTAAATCTTTATAAACCGTATTAGTAAGTTTTGGATTACACAAACCACTCTTTAAATACCTCTACTTAATGTTACTGTTATAAATAATATCCCTTTCTTAGCATAAATATTAAAAAATAAATCCAAAGTGCATAAATTGCATATCAACTGATACTATATTATAGTTAAAGATAAAATTGTGCAAAGTTCAAGTATTAGAAATCAATTATTTATTTAATATAAATCCTTAAATTATTATTCTCCACATACACCTTACTTAAAACACATAATCATGGGATTCACCTGTTACTTTCCTCTCCTTGGTGACCGAAAACCAGAGAAAACCAAATATTGCTTAATGTAATCTCAGTACGATTTGTGCTTTGTTTTTGGGTCGCTGCCGGCACACACCATACACACACACAGTGTGATTTACAGCCATGATCAATAAAACTGCCTGATACAGCCGCTCGGCTAATCGATCAATATCAAAATGCAGGGGCAACTTTGCTAATGGCTCGCCAACTGGACCTTGCCCAATATCGTCTGGCATTTTCGGCATTCAGTGTTCAGTTTTCAGTTTTTGTTGTTTGGAATTCGGGATCGTTTGGCCATTTGGGTGGGTGGTGTTCTACTTTTTTTACTCTATTTTTTACTATTTTGTTCCTTACTATTTTTTAATGGAAAGTAGAGCAGGTGGACGCGGCTTTAAAGATCATTATCTGCCTGTGAGACCTAGTTTCTTTAAATGGAGTCAACATTTCAAGGAATGACATATGGAAAACTTGTTAACATTCTAATTTATGATGACTGGGTTAGGTTTTATGGGATAATCTGGGAGAAATTATGTGGGAAAATTTGATTATTTAATATTATAATTAGAAAGGATATTCAAAAATGGTTTTACAAAATATATAATCAAACATGATTAGAAAACATTTTCTCTTAGCTTTATAAAAATCATTGTTAAATCATTGTTTGACAGCTGAAAAAATTAAATATTTAGAAATTGAAGCCTTTTTTTTTTTTTAATTGGATTTTATTTAAAAAGAAATTGATTTTATTTTATTATTTATTTTATTTTAATAAAAATCTTATAACATATCTAATATAATAATCTAATAAACTATTTTAGAAATGGGGCTTACTAAAACCATTAAAAATATTTCTAAAAAAACAGTCGATATTAATATATATTGCTTCCCATAAACATAAATATTATCCCAAAAACCACTCCTAATAACTCCTTAAAGTAGTATTCCTATGGCTCTATAGTAATACCAATAGAGGTCTAGGTTATCCTGACAACTTTATAGTTTTTACTTTATGTTTAACAATTTTTAATTTTATATTTTTTAAATTCTTTCAAAACTTTAAAGAATTTCTATAAAAATATAGATTTTTTCTTATTATTAACTCGATCTCTATAAACTTGTATCCCAATAATATCCCAATTCCATAACAGTATATATCTCGTATTCTCGTTAAAAAATATACAAATTGATGAATCCACTAAAGAAAACCCAATTCAAATACTTTTCAAAAACCTCCTTCAAATTCAATCTCTATAAATCATTATCCCATATATTATCCCAGAAATATTCCTGTCTCTGGCCAAAAATGTTGCTAACTCTTAACGTTTTAGCCATCTAATTCGTCTAACCATCTATCACCCACATGGATATATATGTATATATATACATATATACAATATATATATCTACGTCGGCTCTGAAGAATTTATAACGACAAACTGAGGCGGTTTGTCGGTTGTGTTCGGGTCGGTTCGGTTTGGTTCGTTCGCGACGACCACGGCCAGAGCTCGATGTTCGACGACTGCCAGATTTCAGATATAGTTTGTTTTCACCTTTCGTCGGCTATAGACGTTGCCAGCGAAAGCGGCGGATATAACCCTCACAAGCACACACATAGAACACGGCACACACACACACAACAAGTCGGAAATGCTTTGGAAAATATTTTTGAAAAGATTCCAAGCCGAGCTACCCAAAGTCAATAAATTGAAATATGAACGCGTGAGGTGAAAAAATAAATACAAGTGAGAGCCAATTGAGATACTGATTTTGTTTTAAAAATCGCAACAAAACGGAAAATCTAAAAATTAAAACCTAAAACCCAAAACCAGTTGAAAACAGGCGAAAGATATATATAAATATATATTTCCAGTGCAAAAAGTGCAAAGAATACAAAATAAAATACAACAAGTTGTCGCAAATAAATCAAATTGAATTTGTGCAAATCAATATTATTCGAATACAAAATAAATAATAAAACCCGTGTCGTTGTCGAAAGTGCAATACAAAAAAAATATATAGCATATATATATATTTATTTATTACAACCAATTACATATATTGTTAATCAAAAGTAATAAAAAAACACACATATCAAGGCGACAGAATATTGCCAAGTGCGGTTGACAAAATACAACAAATAAGAAATTAAATACAAAATACAAAACAAAACAAAAAAAGCTATACGTAATAATTGCCGTCTGTCTGCGATTGCAATTTTTAAATTTTTTGCGGTGTAATTGTACAAAATTCGTTGACGTTGCTGCAACGAAAAAGTATCGGATTCGAACTCGACGAGTTTTTATACAGAAAATTCTGTGGATTTCCGCTTCGACTGAGACTTTGCGAAGCTCAGCAGAAAATCGCCTAAAAAATAAAAAATAATAAATATATAAAACTCTTTCGGTGGACTCCCCTCCCGACGATACACTACGCACAAACCCATGTTGGATTATAATTTACACCCTTAAATTTGGGGGCTACAATGCGGCCAGAAGTATACGATGTAAGTACTACAAATTTACCTAAAGTATGTGACTCAATTCGGTTTTTGCCTCTTCCGCGGAATGATCACTAAATATTTGTGATAACTGCCACGAAATTCCAATTCTTGAAGAGCACCAGAAACTTTGATAAAACGTTGACTATACATTTTTCGGGGCTAGCCTGTTATATAGGGTTTTATTGGTGGGGTTTTCTAGGAAAATATTTATACGAATGATAAATTAATAAAAAATGTCAAGCGTAGGAGAAAAGATAGAAGGTTCATGGAAAATTAGGCTCATGGTTTTTAGGGGAAAACATATTAGTTAACTTTTCATTTTCGGAAAAGTAATAATCTTCATATTTATATTTGTATACAATTTAGAACATTTCCTAAATAAAAAAGGTTTTTGTAAAAGAAAATAATTTTTTAAATATTTTAAAGTGCATCTTTAAAATTTGATTATTTTTCAAAACGATTTATTTGCTTTCTTTCCAAGTGAATATCGTCTTAAAAATATCTTTAAAAGCCCTAGAATGCTTGAAAATATAATTTTTTGCTCTCTATATACCTATCTTCATTAACTAACATCTTTTATTAAATTACAACACATATATTTTATGAATATCCCAAAAACACTTTAGTTTTGAACTCGAAACTCCTATCTTGAGTTATTTAAATGACTTTCCCCTAAGTTTTGATCTTCTTAAATTCCTTTATTTAATTTAGAATTAAATTCTGTAAGATCCATGAGCCACGTGCATAAAAATCACGCCATGTCCCAAAAAATAAACCCTAAAACCTTAAACCGAAGCCAAAACCATGCGCAATCAAGGGAATAATAATCCGCAAAATACCATGACCTGTGTTGCGTTCCCTTTATATTTATATATATGTATATATATATATTTCTTTTTTTTCTGCACAATTCTCACACCAATAATAATAAATGATATATGTGTACGTGTACGTGCAGCCCTCAGCAACGCAATTTCACTTAAAAAACAATTTCCAAACACACATCAAAAGCACAATTATATGTTTGAAACATGGAAAAAAATACATATACGGAACTTGGACTCGAATTCGGACTGAGTCTTGGTTTCAGTTTCATTTTCAGTTTCACGTTCAGGTTCAGGTCTTAATAATAATTGCCGTTTATAACTTGTTATGGCACCAACACACATGCAAACTGTCAGGATAAATCAGCTTCTGTGTGTGCGAAAGAGTGTACAACCCCCTTTTTTCTCTCTCTCTCTCTTTCATTAAAAAAAAAATAAAAACTTTCGAGGGTTTGTGGCGTGTCCTGATCTCAGGACACATTTACCTGAGTTATAAATCAATTGCAAAACGCGCCAACCCTTACTCAAACTCACCGAAGAAGTACCAAAACTTAAGCCCTAAAAAAACCATTAATACCGATCAATTGGAACATTTCCTATGCCTAATCTCCGAAATCTGAAAAATCCCCCAAAAAACTCCCATAGACAAGTTCAACATTTTCCAAAGCAAACAATGCCACGCCCCAAAATAATGATAACGGTTCAAATGCTTCATTTTCCCTGTAAAAATAGACAATATTTGATTTGATAATTCGAATTTGTACGCTTCTTTTATTAATTAAACGGAAATATGAACAGATAAGACCTCGAGAAGTGTGTTCCCCAATGGGGCTTGGTCTTATGCCTTTGATAAGCCTGAAGAAGATACATTTTTATTTGGTGGGGGTCTGATCTTTGCCTTTTAAAATATATACCTCAAAAATTAATCTCACCTTAGCTCTTGAGAGTTTTTATTAAGATTTATGATTTGGCAAGAGTCGAGGCACGAGGCTGCCAGGCCAAAACATCATAAATAGTAGTAGTATTTTCTATATGACTTGGCACATATTTCTGCAGCTTTGATTAATGCAATAGAGACCAGAAATTGAATCCATCCAACCTTGGCCAAGTAAACTGCATATGTTGTACTGCATATGTTCACAAAAAATAAATATTTATTCATCAAATTCAAAGTATCTGTGTTTCTAGAAGAAATCTCTTAGAAAATAGGGTATATATAAAGCCCAAGTAAACATTTCCTAGCCCAGATTATGCTAATTATTTTTAAAAATATTAAATTATCAGCAAACGTGTTGCTTTTACTATTTATTTGAAGAAAAAACAAAAAAGTTCAAAGTACGCTTCCTGTAAAAGGCACGAAAAGTTTGTAGAAATTAACAGGCCAACAACAAAAGTTTGCTGGCGTCTAAAAAACGCTAAGTGTAAAGGCAAAAAAATGTCACATTCACTTGGTTTATTTTTTGTTTGCTTCTTTATTTAATTTTATTTTTATAATTAGGTTTCGCGCGGGTGGGAAAAAGCTGTATATATATATATGTGAAAAGCGGTTAATAATGGGGCTCTCAAACATATGACGCTAAAGCTCTCGTTCTAACCGGAATCGGGGACCCCTTAAGGCACGTTCCTATATCAGTAATGATGATGATGATGATGCTTCTCCTCTATATAGTATATATAAAGCGATTAGTCACAGGCTGGGATCAGAAGCTATGCTATACTATATGAATGTCACGGCTGAATTTGTTTATTCTTATCATTTTAAAGCGGGGAGAATTCGTTTAGGGTTTAGACATACCAGACATACCCTCCCCATACACATGTGGAAATCTGTCTGGATTTCGATGGTTTTAACCTGAGTGATAAGCTAAGAAATTGAAATTCAATTGCCAGCTATAATATTATGGCTTTATGGCCTTTATGGCCGGCTCAGTGGTTAAGTGACTAAGAGCCAAGATCTGAGCCGAGGGCGTACGTCTCTCTCGGAACGAGTTCGACTAACTTGTGGTCTTTATCTTATCAGTCCAGAGAACACGTTCACAAAAAAAAAGAAATAATAATATATATACGGCGTACTACGCTTACTATATCTACATATAGAATAATAATAACAATGCGCCAAAAAAGAAACCATGCGGCCGTCAAGTGTTTACAGTTTGTTTTGCTTTTTTGCGCTTAAAAAAAGAGGGCAAAAAAGACCCTATCAGAAGAGCCAGACCCCCTCACTATATGGCCAACAAATTTTTACTACGAAGGTTTTACAACTCCGATAAGTTCGCTTTCTTTGAGAAATATTTGTACAATTTCTTGCCAAATAGCTGCTGCACTTGGTCAGTGAAAAGACGATGCACCAGCTGACCAGAGATTTGTTTGTTTTATTGGTGTTTGTCATCTTTGGGCTTATGGTTTCGTAAATAAAATCAATAGACACACCCACTTTTGGCTATATACCACGCACATTTAATTGGTATAGAAAGTTTCGAGGAGTTTTTTGTTAGTGCTAATCAGCTCAGGTATTGATTTATCTTTTCTCGTTTATTGTCTTGGTGATTTATTGGCCAACCTCATGTCCCCATCGCCTATCGGTAATCAAATATTTACAATAATGTAAAACTGGCTTTTATGGAAGTATAATTCCCTTGATAAGGTAACTCGATCGATTTCGATATCAGATGTTGGCAATTTAAGCTGGCAATTTAATGCGAATGGAAACTGAAACAGTGCCTCCCTCCCTGGGATTCCTCCTCCCCCATTTCTGCTTTTCCAGTTCCAGTCTCAGGTGCTAGGCAATTATTACTTACTTCCAGAAAAAGGTGTCATATTTGAGTAGCCGTCGTCGTCTCAGTCCCACAGTCCCTAGACAAATTCAGTCGCTGCACTTGCCGCACTTGTTTGCCTTAAACTCGCCAGCGTCTCATTGATTTCGTCGCCAGTTGAAGTCTGTTGACACTTTGGGAAAGTTGCTGAATATATATATATATAGATATATATAGGAAAAAAGAGGGGTATGGTATATATATTCGTCTGCCACTTAAGTAGCCCAAAGGGCGCAAAAGCGGCTTATCACCTTTGTCGGGTGCAGCTGTCCCGTTTTAGATACAACCCTCTATGAATATATATATATAAATGTTATATTGCAAAAAAGAAATGCTTGAGATGTCTGGGAAATTAAGTAATCTCCTATAAGTCTGCTTATTAATAAAATTACCTCTTAAACCTTATCGGTAGATCTGAAATCACTTGAGATCCACTTTGAAAGTTGAGTAAAATATATATATGGAAGGTGTTATTAATTTTTATATGGGCTAAACAAACAGAAAGTAGAGAAAGAAAGTAATATTAAAATAAAAAACGGTTTCTTATATTTATAAATTATTTATTTATAGTTAAAAATAATATATAACTACGGATTCTTAGCATATGGAAGCTTCAAGAACTTCAAGTCTTGAATACCAAATAATAATTATTACAAATTAATTTGTATATAAATCAGCTTTAATAATTCCAGAATATGTATTTAAGCTTCTAAACATCAAAAGAAAATTATAAGAAATTTATTTAAATATAAAAAATCTTCTAATAATTCTAGAACATTTATTTCTTGTACTGTAGCTCTTAGCCTTCTTCCTAATACCTTTCTAAATTTTTCTCAGTGCCTTCGAAAAGGTGAGAAGGGCATCCTTTGCTAATGAGTTCAGATTTGTGTGTCGTCACGTCAGCATTTCATGAATTTTAGCATTTCTCCTCCACCTTCACAGCCTTGACACTGCTCTGCAAAGTATGATTATTCCAACATGAAAATGATTCGTTCTCCTCTCTGTCTATATATCTACTGAACAGTCTGAAAACAACATTAGCTTATCGCGGGAGTACACTGAACTCTCACGTATACCCATTCCCCATTATTATTTCCCCAGTATTAGTATTTGTGTTCTAGAAGTTCTGTGTTTTATTTATATTTGGGGCGTTGCTTTGGCTGCTTGGCTTGGCAAGTTCAAGAGGCCGAAATGAGAGGGCCATCTTGATGCCAAAAGTATGCAAAGTTTTTCGGCTTAAGACACTTAATTAAGGCTGAGGAAAATTAAAGGAAAATGGTCTAGAAAATGAAGGGAAATTCATTTAAATAGATTAGCAAGAGAGCTTACTTTCCGCTGACTAAATTAAGGGTGTTTTTGAATGAAAGGAATTACTTTATAAATACACATATAATTTGTATTTAAGTAAATCTTGCTTAAGAGGCCTAATAATCTTATTAAAGTCTCTGAAAATCCTTGATAATATTTTAAATTATATAATTATCAACCCATTGATTTTTTAAATATTTTTCCAAACCATTTTCTGCCTTAAAAACCTTAATATTATTTGCATATTGTTCTACATCTTGAGTTGCATTAAAGCGCATACTTCACATTCCCAGCTCGAAATTGAAACCGAAGCCAAAGCCAAACAACACCCACTGCCTGTTGCAGTTTACTTGAATAAAAATATAAATATTTTCATACATATATCTATATATATATATGTATATATCTAGAACATAATGCCCACCAGCTCGGCGCCGTCTTGCTGAAAAAACAAAAATAAAAAACAACAATGGCAACTCAAAACTCAAACTGGCAACTGTCAAAGTCACAGAGTGTGTGTATTTTGTGTGTGTGTGTACTGTATGTGCGTGTGTGTAGTATACATCCCTTTTATTTTTGCAGTTGAAACTTCATTAAGTTGCAGTTGCAGCCGGTAGAAAAGCCGAGGGGTTCCAGGGAACGAGGGTGGGTTCTCGGGGCTCCGGAAAAGCGCAAGGTGGATGATGATGATGCAAGAGGAGTATTAAGTAACACAAGCCACCCCTTAAAACAAAAGCAAACACAAATTGCATTTGTGGCTGTTAAAATATACATATATGCTATATAGGTAGAAAACAAAACAACAGAGTAAATACCGAAATCATGCATAAAATTTCACACTTACTTTCACCAGGACACGTGGCCCATAGCAGGACCTTAATTGCATGATGGATTACCCTTTTGGCCACGTGCCGGCAATCACTACTGAATGTCATGTATTATCACTTTATGGCTATATCTTTTGCCAAATCTCCCTGTCGTCGGCCTTTCTGCCAATTCATTTTTTGTGGCCTAATCTAATCACAGTCACATTCCACAGATGCCAATATGTATTTTGTATAAATATATACACTATATTTTGGAGTGTGTTTGTGGAAGCAACAAGTGTTAAAGTCCAGATGCCAACACGTGCTTTATATCGCAAGCCAAACTAGTTTGCATTTTGATTTAAAATCCGTATCAAATCGAACACCAAAATCAATGCAAAAAACACTTGAAGTTCCATTTTAATTCAAGTCTGAGATTTATAAGAGTCTTAATACTGTAATACTGCAAGTGTATTTGTTAATTGAAGTTTAGATTGCACTTGAAAGGAGGTTTCACTGTGCTCAAGTTACTCAATGAATGGAAAGCTACTCCTGGTTGGGAGGAGCTCCTCTTTCGGGGTGGTCCCATGTCGGCACGTAGCTTGAGGAAATCTTTTAACAAAACTATTGTTTGTACTTTATATATATAGCTATTCATTATTCAGGGCATACACCCTGCAATAGATTGCGTAAGCCAAAAGGGGGACCCTTCTGTTGATTTTTTTTGGATTTTGGTAGGAGCCGCGACCCTTGGCTGGTGGCTCCGTTCTGGAAGCTCCTGTCTGCATACCAAATAAGGTAATTATGAGTCGCAGAAGCGAACAAAAGTGAAGCACAGAGCTGGGACAGAGGAGGCTACTCCCCATATAGAACGCGGTATATCGAGTTACATACATGGGAACTGTCTCTCTGGCACAGCCAGAAAATCTGCCTAATACTAATATTTATACATATATATAAGAAACTGAATCACAATTTAATACGATTTTATAACAAGTCATATAAGCAAGACAGGCTTTGAGTTATCTTACAATTTAAACAGGAAATATTGAGTCATATATAGAAGCTTTAGATAGTTTGTTATATTATAAAATAGCATTAGTAATTTCTTTCTTAGGAAATTCCTTGGCTTTCTAAGCATTTATTTTTTATAAATTTATTTAATTTCGAAATAAATTTCTGCCTGTGCATCACCTCGTGGCCCTTTTTGTCTGGTCTTAGAAAAGTTTTCAAAGTTTTTGGTTTCAATTTCATTTGTGCCTTTTGTTGCGGTTGCCAACCCACTAAAATCCAAACTTTTACCCAAGCTTATTCAAAAAATTGCAGAAATTTTTGCCTATTGATCAGCTTCTGTGGAAAAGCCCTTTTGAAAATGTATTGGGAAACATAAATTGCCCCAAAGTCTGAACCAATTTAATTGCTTAAAAAGAGAGAGAGAGAAAAAAAGGGAGAATATTTGGTATGCAAGTGTGCAGACATTTCAAATGAACTTTATTGTCTGCTGTGAAATTGAAAAATGATAAAAATCGCACGCCATCATGCATTTTTGCAGATTTCTTTTTGGTTTAAATTTAATTTTATTTTTTATTTTTATTTTTGGGACTGCCCACTGCGAGGGCAGATGCTTGAGGTTAGGGTTAAGGACTCAGAGGGACCAACCTCCTAAGGCTGCCTTTAGCTTTTGACTCTCGTTGGCTGTATTGATTTCTCCAGCTTTGGATTCTTTTTGCGTTTTCACTTTTCAAAAAAGAAAAGAAGAAAAAAACTGAGACCTTCGTCTCAAGAAACTACCCTTCTTGGGGTCTTGAGTTCTGTTTTTTGTTCGCTTTTTTCTGCTGCTGCTTTTTTTGTAGTTCAGTTCAGTTCAGTGCTAAGCTGAAATCAATGACCTTTGTGGGCCCAGGGATTAGTAGTTGGTCGTGAAATGGAATATGTATGCTCTAAGAAAAGTACAGCAAAAATATATATATATGACAAGAATCGATAAAATAAAATAAAAAGAAAGGAAAAAATACTAAACAAAAAAATATGCAAGCACATTTTTCTTTTCTAGCTTTTCCGAGTGGCCACTTGTGGGTTGACATTGAGCCACAATTGGGAGGCTCTTCATGGAAATTCAGGGAATATATACATATACACAGATTTTGTTTAAACAATGTTTTTTTTCCAGAGAGCTCACGATCAGTAAAAATGACTTAATTGTTGTTCAAGACGGAAGTTCGTAGCAAAACAAAAAACAAATCAAGTTGAAAACAAATCAATAAACTCAATAATAATCATTAATAATCTGTAAGATTTATGCAAATTTTTGTTTGAATCACACTCGAGTTATATATATATATATATTTATAGAGGCTAGCGTAATTTTTTTGTTTTGTTTGAATAACTAAATAATATACTCATCGTTTTCGTTTTTTACTTGCAGGTTACTACAGTTCACGCTGCCCAATGTCAGGACTATTTTTATACTGATGGTGAGTAATAATATATTAATATAATACAATTAGAAATATTTGTGGGAAATCCCTCTTGACAGAATATAACTCCTATAACAAAGCCTTGATCCAGTTTTTGGCTGAGCAAAAACCATCTGGATATCTTCAATCTTCAATCTTAATCTCCAATCTCAATCCGAAAGCTGCCTCGTTTTCAACACTCTGAATATAATTATCTTGAGAAATGTCAAAATATTTTTTATTCATTCCATAAGATTGAGTGTGTGTGGCGCAGGGGGGCATTGGATTGGAGTGTGTTTGATATGGGAAGCGTGTGTGTACATTGGAGTGGCTCTCGGTTTTTTTATTTTTTGTTGTGGGGTCTCTCCTCATCCACTTGAAGGCGGCCCATAAAAAAATAATAATAATTATTATTATGATTATGATTGTTACACATACACGACGCGTCATTGAACTGTGCTTGGAAGAGGTCGGCCTGGCATTCCAAAATCTATATACATATATATTTTTCTGATCAATGCAAACAGAAGGTCTCAAACTACACACTAACCCCTCATCCATCTCTTGAGGAAAACTGTCAACTCGAAAGTCTGACAAGTTAGATGAAAAAGATGGTGTATGTTTTATTTTATTTTTTGTTAATAACCGATAAATCTGAAACTTGAAGCTATCTCTTACCAGAAAGCCCTCATAAGCCCTCAGCTAAAGTCCAGCGTTATTTTTGGCAATTACCCCTGAAAATAGCTAATATTGGTTACTGGTCTTCCTTGGTGCCGTGTGGCTATATGATGTATGAGGCTGTTTTTAGGGATCTAAGCCCCGATAAATAACTCGATTTGCACTCGCCACGCTCTCTCTATAATTACACTATATATGTCATTTGACCCATTCCGCTTGTTTTGCTGATTTTGCATATTTTTCTTTATCTCCATATAATAATTGTGATATCATATATGTTAGGGAGGTAAAAGTCCATAAAATTCAATCAAAAACGTTCCATCGAAGAGGTGGAAACATGCGACAGACACGTGTCAGGTGGTGAAATATCTTAATGGATAATGGGACTTTGTACTTTTATAATTCTAGAAAATATAGAATAATCATATTCTATAAAGAAATTCTTATAGAACAGTCAACAGATCAAAGAATCCCCTAAAGTATCTGTAATATTAAATTGGAAATCTTCTAGTTACAATCTCTAACCCGTACTTAATTTTCCTGCTATTTTTAAACCCAATTTTCAATCTCCTTAAAACTCCAGTTAGAACTATAATCTCTTCTCTGGAAAATCCAGAATCTTTCTTGCAATTCCCAGGCAATTAAATTCTCCTACTAGATTTTCATTTAAGCCAATCTACATGCATGGGAACTTTCTGCTTGGAAGTATCTGCAGAATGTCAAAGCTTAGGACAACATCCCATTGAGAAACCAATTACCTGAACTACCATAACACACCAAATGGCCCACACACACACATACACACACACATAAACCCATTGGCCAAGTTTGAACATAAAATCGCATCTCGGTGTCGCATGTGCTTCAGGGCGGCGGTGTAATAAAAAGCTCATCGTATTAATGGAAATTTATGGGGCAAAAAGAAAAGGGTTCTGTTCTGGTCAGGATTAGTTGCCAGATGTGGCTTTAATGCAGATGAATTGGCCATTAATCGGAGTTTTGTCTCTTTCTTTTTTTGCAGATTGTTGTGGTTGCCTTTGCGATGCAAACATGCGCCGAGAAAAAAGGCTTTGTTTACACATTGAAGGACCACAACGAACGTGCCCTGCACATCAATTCGCACGGCAAAGTGAGCGCCGAGGACATATCGCTGGCACGTAAGTGTTCTATATCTTAAATATCATATATATAGTACCCTGATCTGAACCGATCTGAGGGAGAGAGAGAGCGCGCTCTTACTCATGTGAACTCGCATTCATCAATTACCATTGGCATTTAAATTAAATTGGCACTTGAACAGGCAGATATAGATGCGTATGTTTGGATATATACAGAAGAGACTCTATAAAGATGATGAAGATTTTCTTTTTATAAATTAAAATGATCAAGTTAAAGAGTTAAATTAAGATATAAATTAACTTTAAACAACCCAAGGCATAGGTATTTTCTTTACACTTTAATTTATTGTCTTCAAAATTCCCCTTTATTTACACTCGCCTGTAGTAAGTACATTTTGAACTCTGTCTGGGTCTGGGTCTTCGACTGTGGCTGTGCATATTGTGTGCTTAATTAAATTATTGGTAATTTAATATTTGATTGATGTTATGAACCGCCATGAGGCGGCGCCCATTGCGGTTTCGCTTTTGTTTTGTTTGCCCGCCCGGCTCTCCGCTTGCTCTTAATTTATTCGGAATTCATTTGCTGCTGCTGCTGCTGCGGCTGCTGCTGCGGTTTTTCCAAGCCTCTGAATCTCCGAAGTTCAGGAGCAGCCCTCGTCATTCCATTGTGGGTTGATGGGTGAGCGAAAGTGACAAGATCAGGCGCCGCATTGCGTCACAGATAAGAAGGCACAGGCCAAGGGACATACACGTGAAACGCAATCCGTTTGCTTTTATGCTTAAATTAAGGCACAATTCAATGAAATAGGAAATAAATTGTCAGTTTGGTATTTTATCTTATCAGTTCGGTGCTTCAGGTGCTACTAAATAGTGGAGAGGGTTTTCTATATATACAAAAATACCTATGTGTATGATCGATTTGCTGCAATGAAGGTCTTCCCTCTTGATCGAAATCCCAAAATCAAAAATCAAATTATCAGGCTTAGGGCTCACATTTCAGGGTTAAACCCTTTTAGCTAAGATCGAGTTCAACGACTCAGCAGCGCCGGTAATTGACTTAGTTGATTTATTGATTTCATTAAATGTTTCACATAGACTTTACCCACCACATATAGTATTCCATTCTAATCAAAAGCCCCTAGCCTACAGCCCCTTCATAACTTTATCGAAAACCTTTCAATTAATTGGGTTATCTGAATGCGCCTCAAGTGGTTCCAGTTTCAGTTCCATTAAATATTTACACAATACCCGCAACCGTCCCCAGTCCACGCACTTTTGTTTGCCAATAATTAATTAATATTTTTTGAAATTTGTTCTTTTTCTAGAATTCTTCACAACGGACAGTGTCGGCGATGTTATGGATTTTATGGATTTCAGAATTACCATCTATACCGCGGATGTCAACTACTTTCTGTGCTTCCATCAAGGCAGACTTGTTGGAAAGGTGAGTTGTAGAAGATTTTCTTATATTATATTATATTATAGTAGAGGCTTTCAAAATGTTACTTTCTTCTGACTTTATTAAATAATATATGTATCAGACTTTCAAAGTAGTTTTCAAAACCTTTATTAAATAATATTAAAAATGAAAACCCCCCACTAACTGAATTTCCTTCCCTGTTTTTCTCCCCATTTTTCTTCCAATTCCCTTAGAGAAACGCCACAAAGGAATGCCACTTCAGAGAGTCAATGGTTAATGGCCATCATCAGTATACCTATGCCTACAATCCAGTGCTGCATGTTGGCTTTAAGCGCAACTTTCGCCCAGTTGGGCCCAAGGATTTGGCCCGACCACATGTCATGAAGAAGGCCACCTTTTTCTTCTTTCGCCTTGATGAGGAGAGTTTCCGCAATACTTCGAGTCATCTTAGAAAGCATACCAAGACCAACACCAACGCCAGAAAAACAACAATAACTACATCAACTACATCCACAACAACAACAACAACAAAACCACCCAGTACTACCACACCAACACCAACACCAACACCCACAACAACACCAATAACCACAACCACAACATTGAGCCCAGTGGCGGGCACAAAACGCACGCGTTCAAAATCGCGTCGCCCAACAAGTATTAATAGCGATAGCATTCCCAGCGAGAGCCGGAGCCAGAGCAATAGCCTTAAGTCCTACAATCAAGCCAATAGCAACAAGAACGATGCCGAGGAGGATCTTCGGCAGAAGATCCCGCACCGGAACCGGAAGCAGCACAGGCTGAAGAAGCAGAAGCAGCACCGACAGACCGGTCGCCGGCGCACAGTGGGCCTTATGGCTCAGCCCCAGCCCAAAAATCTAGAGGTGCGTCATCATCATAACAATGCCACAATAATGGAGCGTCGCCTCCGGCGTCGTCTGGAACGGCAGCAACATAAACTGCAGCGTGAGCTTTGGGAACGGGAGCAGCGCCAGGCGGGTGAGATAGAGCGGGAGCGAGAGCGGGAGGAGCATCATCTGCCCAAGGCCGCCACCTCGTCGGCCTCGAGCTCCTCCTCCTCCTCCTCGTCGACGGCCACATCGACGGCACTGACAGCCACCGCCGCATCGCTGGCACCCAGCGCCTTCAATTTGGTGGCCATTGTGGCCGCCAGTCGTCGCAAGCGGGACAGGCGAAAACGCTCGGCAGAGGTGGCTTCACCACCACCCACAACCAGCAAGAGTGGAGGCGCCTCCCAGCCCCCTGCTGCCGATATGCAACTGGTGGAGCTACCCTCGCAGCGTCAGCAACAGCAGCAGCAGCCACAAAACACTGAATACTCAAAACCCTATGTTAATAGTAACTTAAACAACCCACTAAAAAGTAGTAATAGCATTAATGTTAATCATGCAATACCTGCCTTGCCAAAAAACTACAACTACTTGTACAGTAACGAGCATTATAATTTGAATACTAAAAGTAGCACGACTGATTCTAGTAGTTTAGAAACTAGCACTAAGTTCGATAGTCCAAATAGCCATAGCAATAGCCATAGCCATAGCAATAGCGATAGCGATAGCCATAGCCACAGCGCGTTCAATCAGAATATTGACAATAATCTTAAGCAATTAAACGATCGAATTGAGGAGATGCCCGAAGCAGGTGAGATGAAGACAAAGGTGAAGATGGAGATGGAAATGGAGATGGAGATGATGGAGACAGCGAGCGAGGATGCTGTTGTGGAGAATCGCAATCATATTGATGCTAGTAATATAATCGACGATCCAAACGATGAGGAGCACGAGGAGCTGATTTTAAATAAACTTTTTCGTGGCCTACAGGAGTTGCAACAGCAACAGCAACCGCAACAGCAGCAGCAGCAACAACCTAATATTGATAATCATAACGAGAATATTAACGTTGTTAACAATAATCAGAATCATAATGATAATGGGCTGCTGACAAATAATAACCATAATAGTAATTACAATGAGCAATTTGCGAATGACGATGAAACGATACGAATTCAAAATAATAAATATGAAACACATATAGTACAATACAAACATGTGGTATTTATTTCGAAAAGTAATAATATTTGTGGTGGGTTTTTAAAAACCTTTTTTTAATTTATTCTTTGAAGCAGTTGATTTCTTGGTAAGAAATCTTCTCGATTAGCTTCAATTCTTGTGGATACTTTTCTGATTTTTAAAGGTTTGTTAAAGAGTTCATAAAGTTGTAATTTTAAAAGGATCAAGCAGCAATGGATCATGGTTTGTGTTTAAAGGTATTTATAATTTTCTAGCACTTTTTAAAAAAAAAAGAAGAAAGTACTTTGGATTCATGTGGCACCTATTTGAAGTTGGTTTTATTAGCAAGATCTTTTCTATTAAGGATCAATACTGTCCTTTTGTTTGTATATAATTGTATGAAGATCTTGACCTAATTAATTAATTAATTAAAAAAAATTAATTAATTAACAAAAAATTATTTAACTAATTAATTATAAAAATATTTAATTATTCTAGATTTCATAGCTCCTTGACCTTCTTTTTTTTAGATTTACAACTTGTTTCATTTGAAGCAAATTTGCTTTTGATTTAAGGCAATTTCACATAAAACACTCTTAAATTTCCTACAAAAAATGATTTAACTATATGTTTAATCTCAATAAAATCCCTATAAAATATTTACAATTTCCACACACATTTCCCACAGCTCATCTCGCAATGCGGAAACATCTCTCGGGTGTGATGATCATCCAATTTGAATTGGAATTCCCTTTCAAAATGCACATTCCAAGGCACACACAAAAAATGTGTTTAGGGTAGGGTGAAAAAAATCGAAGGCATAATTCGAAAATCGTGTAACAATTGATAAGAATCTACAACAATGTGACAATGTGTAAATCTCCAGCCTGACCTCAATCTGTTTCGGATAACAATAAATTATATCTGGCGGCCGTCCAGACGCCACAAAGTCGCGTGCAAAATGCGTGGGCGATTTATCGAAACAAGTATTTACATCACAAAAAAACGTAACTATAGGGTCTTCTGCTTTTGTTGTAAATTTTTTTTTTTTTTTTGAAAATATTTGATAGATGTCCGGGCTGATGTTGACACCGCATAAATCATAAATAGAGATCTCATATTAATTTATGCAAAGTACCCGAGATGTATGGCGTGTCTGAAATTAATTAACCAACATTTTCTGTGTCGCAGCAGCCAGTCCGGTCAGGCCAAAAAAAAAAATAAAATAAATAAAAAGATAAAGCTGATCTGGCGCCGTGTATCTGCGATCGCGCCTCTAAGCGAAAAGTCTGTAAAAAAAATAAATCGAAATATAATCAAAATAAAATCTACAAGAAAAAAAAGGTCGAAAAGCGCGAAACGCGCCACGCCAACGCCTTATATATATTTCCAGCCAAAAAGCCATCGGCAAAGCGCCGCTAATGAAATTTTATTATACTCTCGCGGCAATAATTTATAAATTTGTTTAACAAAAAATAAATTTGTTAAGCAATAAATTTAAATACGCAAAGCACTTGCCACTTTTGTAAAGCGCGATCTGTGATCTGTCTGCGAGGCTATCGAGATGCTCTCGCACGCGGCTTTGAACTGTGGAATCGATAATAGAATCTTAAGTTTATTTTATTCATTAAAAAGTAATATGATTTGTATTTAAATATATTAAAAATATGGTAAAATATCTAGTTTAAATAATTGTTAATTAAGGTTAAAAAAAGTGCTGATATTTGTATTAAATTAATTAGTTTTTGTCTTTGTTATAACAATATAATTTTAGTTAGAAGCCTGTAACGCTGTGAAGGAGTCATTTCCGACCCTATAAGGTATATATATTCTTGATCAGCATTAACAGGCGAATCGATCTGGGTATATTTTAGAGAAAAAAATTTTGATAAATTTTTTCAACATTTTTTAAGGGGTTAAAAATGTCAAAAAAATTGTCAAAAATTTCAATTTTTTTAAATATCAAATTGAGTATGCAGATTTGTTAACCTGATGAAAACTAACATGGGAAAGCTTTCCGAATTAAAATTTATGCTTTTTTTGGCTTAGTTATGAGTTTTTTAAATTTTGATTTGTAGTAAAATTTCCATATAAAAATATAGTTAATATCGACTAAAAAATGGTATTTCACCTTCTTTCAGAAGCTTAAAAAAACGTGAAGGAGTCATTTCCGACCCCATAAATCATATATATTCTTGATCAGCATCAACAGGCGAATCGATCTGGGTATATTTTAGAGAAAAAAATTTTGATACATTTTTTCAACATTTTTTAGGGGTTTTAAAATGTCAAAAAAAATTGCAAAAATTTGAATATTTTAAATTTTCAAAATGAGTATGCAGATTTGTTAGCCTAATAAAAACTAACATGGGAAAACTTTACGAATGAAAATTAATGCCGTTTTGGCTCAGTTATGAGTTTTTTTATACCTTGATTTTTCAAAAAAGTTGTCATATAAAAATATTGATAAAAATTGATTTAAAAATTGATTCAAAATTAATCATTACATATATTTGTGGTCTAGGAAAATGTTGAAAGTATTATGACTTTTATTATACTAAATATTTTATATTAGATACAATGTAAAGGTTACTACTTGAATACATTTATATTTGATTACCAATAAATGTTCGTTATAATATTAATGGCATATTAAAATCATTGTTAATTATTTAAACATTTTGTTAAGACCTTAAATGGGACAATTGAATTAATTAAAAATTATAATAATATCTATTTAATGCTTTTAAAATCGGCTTTTAAACCTTTTAAGATAATTCACTTGTTTATTTTCCATTTCCTGTTTTTACAAGGGCTTAAATATATTATATAGAGTTTGTTGCTTACTCAAACCAAATTTCCCAAGAACACATTTTTATATTTATACATAAATCTATCAAGAAACAATATTCATGTGCTATTGTTCAGTTAACTAGTTTCTTTTTTTCCTCAATTTTTTTTTTCTCAGAAACTTTAAATATTAAGTAGAGTCCCGCCCCGTTTTGTTCGTCATTTAAATGTTACACCTTCCTTTGGGTGGATCAGCAGGTTTTTATTTATAGTCAGAGTTTGGTGAGGGGATTGGAAGTGGGAAATATCAAAAACCCAAACAAATAAAAATCGAAATTTGCATCAGAATACGTCTCGGTTTTGGCGTCAAAATAACTCAACGGCCAAATAGCTCACTGGTTTTGAGTGAATTTATCACCCAAGTGCAAGAACAATGTCGGCCAGGAATGTTGCTATAGTACACTATAGTATATATTTGTGTATACGTTGTATATAAATTTATTACTTTCTAGCTTAAATATCAACAAAATATAGCTTGGCCTGGCCTGGCTTGGCGCCTTCCCTAAAAATTCATTTGAATTTTGTGGTTACCTTTTTTGTTGTCATTGTTGAATGTTTATTGGCCAAATTAGCGTGTCAGGTGAAATTTAAGCAGATTTTAGTTGAGCATCTGCCTGTTTATGGGAAAATGATTAGATCCGCTTAGAGTCCGAGTTATATCTGATAGATAGAGATAGAAATAGAGACAGAGATGGAGATGGAGAGAAAGAGAGATGTTTTTATGCGTTTATTTTTATGACACTTATTCTAATGAAGAAACATTTTAAGCCTTGGCTTAAGTGACGGAAATGCCTCCGCAATCTTACCAGCTTCGGAGACATTCATATTCATGTTGATTTTCTATGTTTTTTTTTTTTGTTGTGGCCATTTTTCAAGTGCAGCTTACGAGGGGATTTAGCCAACTCTGTCGACAAGCGGCCATTATGGAAGATTAGTGTTTGCATCTTAATTTAATTGTTGCAAATTAAATTTGAAAAAAACATTTGCATAAAGAAAAAGTTGCATTTTAAAGTGGAGAGAGAGAGAAAGAGAAACATGATCATCAGTTAGATGGGTTTTATGATGAAAAATAGGTAAGAAATGGTAACAAATAGAAACAAGTTAATTAATTTTAATTATTTACTTTTATTTAATATAATATATGCGGTTAAGTTCCACCTTAGAAAACATATTTGAATTGTTTACTAATTGTTTGAAAATTGTTGATATTTTTCATTGAAAAGCAACTACATAAGTGGTTTATTTATAGTTCAAATTGGTGGATATTCCTGAATTACTCAAAAATCTATAAAATACACCATATATTTCAAATGCATCATATACTAAAAATGTACTATTTTTCATTATTTCTAAAGACTTTTCCTCGGGGACTTTTCCATATTTCAAAAAGTCCAGAAACGCCCCCCTTTTTTCTGTATTTAAGCAACCTAGATATATATACATATTTAGTTTATGTACATCAACACAGTGACCATAAAATCAGTTCCGATTTATGGCCAATATAATCATATTTATAACCAAACCACTAAATTCACAAATTCCGTATTAATGATGGCCGAAAGAGAAATATGTGCGTCGATTATTAACAATTTGGCGCCATTTAAACGGCCACGAACTTAACATTTTTTTATAATGCAATAATTAAATCCCCTCCAAAAAAACAAATCAAATCTGTCTTCTATATATCCAACAACAACAATGTTGGAGACTTTTTTAATGACATCGTTAAAGCGAATATCGAAAGGGAACCATGACGGCATCAGAGTTTTACGACTTCGCGCCTTAGAATCAGCTCTTTCTTTTGGCTAATACCAGAGAGTTAAGATTCCGTTTGTCAAGATCTTCATTATTATTATTATTGTATTGTTTTTTGTGTGTGCATTCTATATACGATCCAAGCGATATATATACATCTTGGATGGGTGGGAATTCCGTACAAAAACCAGTTTCGGTTCGTCTGTTTTGGGGTTCTCGGGTTAAAATTAAAATCTGACGCGCACTCAATTAAGTTTATTGCATTGCAAATCATGTCCGTAACCCATTTTTATGACAGTCCGAAGGTGTCAAGATGATTTGTCAATGTTTGGCCACGCCCACGCACATTCTTCCGCCCCCAAGAGGCAGACACCCCACCTCATTCTCCTCGTCAGCCACACTTGACCATCGTTAAAAACGCCGGTAAACAGTTAGGCCAGGCTTTTGGCCAACTTGTTGTTGCTGTGCCACTTGCACTGATGGAATGATGATGTGGCTCCCACCTCGTCTTTAACTTAAGTTTCGACGACGAGAGTTCAATGGTACTTGGATTAGACAGTGTAGATGCACTGAGAAGAATCAGTAACATATGGGAGTCAGGATCTTGAAGAATTTATTAGTATATCATAGGATTTATTGGATTATATTTAGTTTTCAATTGAGAATACTAATCAAAAAAAGCAAACAATTATATATTGAATATATAATAACTATTTTCCTTTTAGTATTTCGATAAGAACAGGTAAGGATATTTATTAGCGAACCACTTCCCAGACAATTTCCAAACAATGCTACAATAAATACCCTTAATATATATATATTTAATCAAACTAGACATCAAACCCTTTCTCTTTTATAAAATATATAAATTTATAACTATACATTTTTTATTTACTACTATTACCTTTAG